ATTTGACGAAATAGATGTTTTTTCACATTATTATTTTCGTTCAAATGATAGCAGAAGTGACTTCATCACCTCAACATTATCAGGCAACGATCACGACGATTGCGTCGCGTTCATCTTTAAGTTTTGCCTTCCGATAACAAATATTAGAATGGTTTGAACAGTATTTTTGCAAGTAGAATTGTTATTGGTCCGAGTTCAACTCAGCTTTTTGTCGGAGATCCGGTAAATTTTCTTGAGGTGCGGCAACGCGGTGGCAATGAGGCGCTAGTTTACACGCACGTTGGGTCTTCGCGGCGGTGGCTCGTGACGCTTTTGTTTTTTTCTTTCACGGCATGCTCCCTCTATTACGTCACTCTTTTCGATTTCAGAGCCGGCCTACCGTGAAAACTCGGCCGAATTACACGGTTTGTTGACGATTGTCTTTTGTCAACTAGCCGTAGGGTTCCTTACGGGGGGATGACAACAAGTACTATCGCAAAACGTTGATTCAGAGTAGATGGCGTTGGTGGTGTTTGACAATTTCTGAAAAACGGAGTAAAGGTCTAGGGGCCGTTCAAGTATTACGTAAGCAGATTTATTACAATTATTTACCCCCCCCATCCCCCTTGCCAGCAAAAGTAAGCAAAGCTCTTGCCCCCTCCCCCCATGCTTACGTAAACATTTGTCAATTAATGAATTGTTTTTTTTAATATTATAATTATAACGTTATAATTATAATTTGAAAAATAAGAAAATAGATTTAGAATAGAGATTATATTCTACTGATATGGTATTCAACATAAAGTAAAGGCCAAAAATATTATATCTTACTAACATAACAAACTTATCAATCGTGATCAGGCAATTTGATTCTATATTCCATGTGCATTAGAAGAGGTGCTTGCTTATTTGCCGCAGTGACGCCAATAGAGACTCGAACTTTATCATCTTGAGATATGAAAAATACCTGATCTGTTCCAAGTATGGATGCTATATTCTCTAAATAATGGATTGATGTTTCGGCGAACTTGCTATCTAAGTGGCTCTTGTGGTGATCAGTTTGAGCCCGAATGAGCTTAACAGGGACTGTCGATACATGTCTTCGTCCCTCTGCAGAATTAGATTTTCTGGGAATCAAACGAAGATATGTCCCACTGCGACTAATGTCAAATCCTATTTTACGTAATTCTTGTGTGACTTCATCAAGAGTTTTTACGCTGCAAATTGATTCCGTTCGTCTTCTATCATCTGCTGCACTCCCAAATAAAGCTATATCCGCGATTGTTTTCAATAGTGACTGTTGATTGCTTTCAAGATTAGGACATCCCACTGAATCCTTCAGAGATAGTCTCTTTTTTATTTCTGGATTTTCATGACAAATATCTTCTAAATTTCTTTTCATATCATCCCTGGTGTTTCTTCTGGGCAACTGCGTTTTGAACCTTCCTGTTTAAAGACTGTCTTGCTGTTTTTATTTCCTCGCGCAACTTAATGATCTGTTTATCAACTTCAGCGCGGCTTGGCATAGTATTTCTGGCAGAATATAAAGCTTTCAGATTTTTTTCGAGTAGAGCAATCTTATTTTTCATAGCTTCGTGAGAAGGTTTTGCTCTCTGTTTAACTGTATTTACATTAATTTCGCCAATGCTGTTGTGATTCATTACCGGGTTTTATTTTATCTTCTTCCTCTTTTTTAATATTTGAAGCTGACCGTATAATTTGTGTTTTTTCTGCAGGTTTAAAAGTTGCCTAAAAATAAAAACTTTCTATGGCTTCTGCTAAAGATTCTCTTGTTAAGCTACATAAATACAAAGTATGGCAATCTATGTGGTAAATACAAAACCCTATGGCTTTAAATATAATATATTTAAACGAGCAATTCGTTCCGGTCACAAAATACAGGGTGTTAGTTTTCTGTATATATATGTATAAAACTAACATCCTGTACTTTTCCCCTACTCAGTAGAGGAATTACCGCGCGCTGTTCACTAAACGTATGAATTATTTGCGGGAATCCCCGAAAATGCGTTTCGTTTTCAAGCAAAGACAATGTGAGGGTTGCCATTCGTGTAAAAAAGTAAATAACTACCGATGACGTAATCATCATCTAGACTCCCCTACCCCCCATATCATCCAAAATAAGCTGAGCAAAGACCCCCCGCCCCCCATAGTGCTCACGTAATACTTGAACGGCCCGCTACGTGTCAAATGTTCTTAGCGATTATTTGGAAAACCATTTCTTTTCCCAAAACATCAGGCGATACAAAATTTCCATTTCATTTTTTCAATTTTGTGTTTTTTTTATAGCAAACGTTGGATTGAGGCATCGCTCATTTACTAAAAATACTCAAACGCCACTAATTACCACTAATTAACGTGTTCTGCCGCCCAAAATCATGCACTCAAAATCTTTTCCAGACAGGTTTCTCAGTTTGTTTTTGTGTTCTACGAGGGTGGTCTAAATAGTTCCCGACCTCAACGTGAAGATGGCAGCACTTGTAAAAATGTGTTGCATCTTTATTAGGTCGGAAACTATATGGTTGGATACCTCTTCAAATAGACTACGTTAATAACTGACTAAGGTGACGATTTTTTTTCTAGCTTCTTTGACCGCCAATTTTAGAACAAGCTAGTTATCGCCCGACCCTCGTACGGGCAATTTGTAATTCAAATAGCGCGTAAAATGCGTGTCATCGCATTATGTAAGCAGACGATGATAAAAGGAAAAGCAATCGAAATTTCGTATGTCGTACGAACGTACGGCACCTTAATGGAGAATGATAGTCATTTGTTCGTTGCAACAATATAAAAATAGGCTAATGAATGTCACTACTCGATTACGACCGTCCGGCAACTGTTTTGCGAAAACAAATGAAATGCATTTCGATATTTGACCGAGCAGTGAACTGAATAGCGTCGGACAGGAGAAATCTATTTTTTTTTCCATAGCTAACTCGATTTGCCGAGTAGACAAGTAGGTATCAGAACTAAGGTCAACAACAGATGGACTGCTCGATGACCGATAGACCGTAAGAGTGTAAGAAATGGGTAATTTGATAAATTGTGAAACTTTTTCGTGCAAAAAAGTGTTTCGATTTTCTTCTATATGTGTTTACGGAAAATTCTAGAGGAAAACGATCTATTAGAATTGGGAGAAATGTTAAAGGAATTCCATAGATGTTTTATCGTCCAAAAAACTGATATTTTTATCGGCGTATTGGTCAATATAAGTTACAAAGCTTTAATGGTTCAAATTATTGAATCGTAAGAATTACAATATCTACATGAAACTACATTTTCATTAGTCTCCTGAGGGGAACAAATGTGCATTTTTAAAGATCATCGAAAAAATTGAATAACAGCTGCATCAGTATAAGTTAACAAAAAAGCCCCATCATGCATCCTATGTTAAATATCTAACACCTCCTTTATGAAAGGCCGTATTGTCGTCCCGATATCGACGTATTTACGTTCGCTGTCACATTTTCGAACGTTTAATGATTCAGGTTGATGGCTGACAAGCGTCACAAATCGATCGTGTACGGTTAATTTGAAAAAATGCTGATTCAACGAGATGCCCATTGTGAATCGTTACATTCACGCCGTATCGCTATCTTCGGTGTGGCCGATATGGCTCTCGAGGCTGTCGAGTAACACATTATAGAATAAAAATAAATTTTGAGCTTTAAAGATCAATGTTTACAATCATTGGTATCATTCAATCAATCAAAATATGTGTCAGATGTTCCCTATATCTGCTTAGGGCATATTTTTTTATATCATAGTTGATCTAAGTCATCGTTGTAAACGTAGAGGAAATAAAAAAGCAGGAATCGCCTGTATGTATTACAAGTTTTTTGGTCAATTTGTTAAAATTTGTTAATTACCTCATCTATGTCTTTCGCTTTTTATCTTGGCTCTTTACGAGAAGTTATTTTTTGTATTTAGAAATGACTATCATATAACTACTATCGTCATCAGTGAAAATATAAACGTTCTTTGCGTTACGATTTCCACAAGTAGAAAGGATAGTTTTTGAGATCAAATCATTGTAGTGAGATATCTGAACAACTTAAATCGACATTTAAGAAGAATGATTAGGACTTCATTCCTGACGTATCGTTGAAGTCTCCAAAGTATATACACCGTTGAAATGACGCAAAAAGTTAGTTTCAGTAGCAATTGTCAAATTAATCTCTGTAGTTGCAGTTCAATTTCATAGCATGAACTTTCCTACAGTTCAAGAAGAAAAATGTTTTTGAGAAAATAAATTGTTTTAGAAGTAAATAGTTTATAATAAAGGCATATTTTGGTACAAATCTTGAAGTGGGCCAACTGAAGTGGGAAGGGGCTCGTATTATATTTTATCCGTTCTGATACTTTTATCTTTTATTGTTGTTCTTCTTAATCTTTATACACCTTGTTTAATAGAAGTTTGTGTCTTTTTATTTGGTGATATTGCATCTTGTTGACTAATTGTGATTTTTTGTATAATGTCCAAAACTTTTTTGACATATTTTGGTATTACACTTATATATTTATTGAGGATGGTGAACACCAACTAAAAGAATTCAAAACTAAATTAGATTTTTGCTGAAACTTGTTACGTATACCAACGCAGTAATACTATGCAGCCTAAGTATTAAATAGCATCTCACTATTCGTATACGGAAGGCCTGAGGTTGAAATGCAAAAGTTGACATTTTAAATGTTGATAACTGAGGAATCCTTATGTCAAAAAAGATTTCACTCTTCTAATGAATCATGTAAGCGTTTAAATATTCGAAGAGAATTAGAATCTTCTGACATTTGGTTTATCAGAATTTTTTCAGAAGAAGAACATTTTCTGTAAAATATCTTGACGTTATTTTTGCGAGTTAGCTAGTTTAAAACGCAGTCCTAAAGGAACAAATTATATTATTATAATATTCATTAAAAACGTTCCGTTCAGCAGCTGAAATGGGTAGTTTGAAATAAGTATCTACCAAAAAAACTGAATAGCAAATAGAAATTTATATTACCTTGCAACCCTCACAAGTGAACGCCCCGAAGTGGAAACCTGCCGCCGGTTCTCCGCACACCTTGCATGTCTGATTCATCTGAAAAGCGAAAAATACCTGTTAGTATCTTCTATCCATCGGTACACCCACACCCGTCACACCCGCTATGTGCGATTAAAAATATGAACAATTTCAGCTCCTTCTTCAAGTTGGGGCGACAAATCATGCGTTCTGTTACTACCAAGGCTTTACAATTTTATAGTAATACCTCCAATGATGCAGCAGATCCGTCGATTGCAAAAACCCCGAGTTTGATTTCCATATCCGCTAATGGTTGCCATTTGAATGACCCGGTCGCGGCGCATATTCGCGCGTGTCTAACCGTCATTTTTTTTAAACAAAAGCTTGCATAAGTAACGTTTCCCAAGCGTGCTCTTATTTCGGCGCTTGCACTTGAAAACGCGTATTTTTCGGTCTAGTTTTACGTCAAGGTCAGTGGCAAGTGCCGCGGTTTGGAAATGCAAGAACAAGAATGGCGTCCAGTAGATTTACTCTATATTTCCTACGCTGTCGTTCGAGGTTTCAAAGGATAGGGATGAGTCTTTGGCGAAGTCGAATTGTGACAGGAACGAAGTAAAAATATGACGGAGCATGTCAGGGCCCTTTTTTTGGAACGTTATGTTGACATCATACATAAAACTACTAAACTTCAGAACCTGTAAATATATACTTACAAACCTTGTAAATTTTGTTATTAAAAAAAGACAACTTCATTTTTGAGTTTCTGACGCTTAATAGCGACGCCGCAGTTCTGTGCATCGTTAGACTTCAGGCAGCCAATCCTACTACTCCAAATGAGATTTAGAGAACCAAGATTTTTTTATTATGAAAGTTAGGCGTTGATAATCTTTATTCGTTATTTCCAACTCAGACGAACACTTGTACCTTGTAAATCGGGGCGTAAATTACGTATCTGATATCAGTTTTTTGATACTGATATACTACCCCAAAAGGTCTATCCTTCTCTATATTCAAAGCTTCATGAGAGCCCTATCAAGAATCTCTTTTTCAGGGTGTTGCACTTTATTTTGGAAAGAGCGTATTCTAGAAGAAAGTTTCAAACAAAAATTGTATTGCTCAGTTGAAGGCGACCTGGACTATGACCATCAAGTCATTCCAAGGCCAGATAAATATTCCCAAATGGAACCCCCTTTTTACATCAGAATTGAAAACAGGAGGACTTTATACGGACAAATATCACATTAACTATGACCTTGACAATGGCATTCAGGGTCAAATCAAGAAATCTAGCAGCACCTTTAATTTTTACACTGGAGATGGAAAAACCAGGAAATATTTTCTCAAAGTCAAGGTCGTGTCAAACCTCAATGTCATTTGAGGTCAAGGTCACCAAAAATCTTAGGTTTTCTTTGAAAATTTTGCTTCAACTTGTTGAAGCCTTGTTAAAGGTTACATTCGGGGACAACTACAAACTGCTTGAGATTGTTTTCGATCTTTAATTTGACCTTAAATGCCCTTGAAGGCTATTTTAATGGTCATATTCCGGCCCAAAATTTCCTTCTCTTTCGAACGTAGTTGTAAAATGGGTGTTTTATCAGAAAATATGCACTTGACCTTGAAATGACCTCAAAGGTCGTGGTCAAGACCATCTTCAAGATTTCCACCACCAGTCCTACAAGTTTTGTTTGAAACTTTTTCTCTAGGATGCGTAGTTTCTAAATATTTAAGCGGGAATGTTAAAATATAGCGTCACAGGAGCATTTTCACATTGTCTCTCGTATACAAATATCCAGAAAAGAAGATACGATTACTTGCAAGCAAGCCTTTCTACAGTCTGTTTTAACTGCTCATACTCGGAACAATCGCAGATACATTGTAGTCGAGCAATAAACGTAATAGGTAGCTTCCGTAATAAAAATGTCTAACGTGTACTAAACGTAAAGAGCGGAGTGTCTTCGGTCGAAAAGCCAACAGTTATCTTCGATGGGTTATGAACAATGTGGTTAGATTACTTCCTAGTTTGAAACACCTAGCGCGGCGAATGCCAAAACGGCCGTTTCAAAGATTACCCGACAAAATTCCTGTTTTGCCTATCGGAGAAGGTGCTGATATCGCAAGTTATTTACTCGAACGCAAAAATGCTGGTAGCCGATAGTAGCAGAGCTTTTCCAATGCATTTTCAAGCTACATGTTTCTGATTCGTGTTTGTTCTTGTAGTTTAGGAGCTGAAAACGCCTAATTTTTAAGTAGTATCGGAAATAATTTCAATACTGCAATACTATTGAATCAAAAAGATCGAAAATTTGTCTCAAAACTAGATGTCTATATAGATTTGGCAAGAATATATATATAGGTGAAAAATTAAAGCTTCCGCCTTTAGTTGGGTACTTCGACAAAATTTAAGCAAAGAGGACTCTTTATACTTTTTTAATTCTCTCTAGCTTTCAATGGACTTTGCCATCATCATCAGGAGCTGCAATTACAATGATAACAGTAGCAACAAAAGTGTAAAATGAATTTAAATTTACTCAACTTACAGTAGTATGTGAGGATGTTGCTAATTGTTGTTTACGTATAGGATGAGGGAAACGTCCATTAACATGGTGAGAGCTGGATAGATGGTACAATGGTCAAAATTATATAAAATATGACAAGAACAAGTTAAAAACAGATTAAAAATTATTTAAAAAAAACATTAGAGCATTGCATCGTGAAGCCACTTGATGATTGCACAAAATGGTGGTCATGGAATAATGAGTGAGGTGAACCCTTTGACAGAAGGCCGAAGGTTGTCAATGTCTGTGTTGAAAGATGGAACGAATTGTGGGCGTGTGCTAAACGTTGCCAAATCATTTCAGATGATGTGATTTTCAGAATGTTATGTAAGAAATTGTTAAACCGACCAGAGGCAGTTGAATAAACTATATTTTAATTAATGGGAATTTGAATTAACAATTATTAATAAATCGTTAGAAGAGAATTATTAGATTTTGAGTGGAATGAAATTTACTGGTGGAATCGGCCAAAACACAGATTCTATGTATTCTATAATTAAAATATAGTTTATTCAACTGCCTCTGGTCGGTTTAACAATTTCTTATATAACATTCTGAAAATCACATCATCTGAAGTGATTTGGCAACGTTTAGCACACGCCCACAATTCGTTCCATCTTTCAACACAGACATTGACAACCTTCGGCCTTCTGTCAAAGGGTTCACCTCACTCATTATTCCATGACCACCATTTTGTGCAATCATCAAGTGGCTTCACGATGTAATGCTCTAATGTTTTTTTTAAATAATTTTTAATCTGTTTTTAACTTGTTCTTGTCATATTTTATATAATTTTGACCATTGTACCATCTATCCAGCTCTCACCATGTTACAGGACGTTTCTCTCATCCTATACGTAAACAACAATTAGCAACATCCTCACATACTACTGTAAGTTGAGTCAATTTAAATTCATTTTACACTTTTGTTGCTACTGTTATCATTGTAATTGCAGCTCCTGATGATGATGGCAAAGTCCATTGAAAGCTAGAGAGAATTAAAAAAGTATAAAGAGTCCTCTTTGCTTAAATTTTGTCGAAGTACCCAACTAAAGGCGGAAGCTTTAATTTTTTAACTAACTGGTCTAGACGACAATGACCACGTCTCAAGTTATATATATATATAATAATTAATTCTTGGAATGCTTGTTCTTTAACAAACATCGATCTATCAAGAAGCGTATCACAGATTATTGCAATCCTGGTTGCCTATACGTCTAGTCCGCTCCATGATCGAGCACATACACAAACCGAACTATTCAAAACGTATTAACTAAAAGCTAAATAGAGACAACCAGAAAAAATCTTTGTGGCATCGATAACAGACTGTGTTAACAACTGTTACACCCTACTGTGTTAGATAATATGGAATAAGATAAGCCTACATACTTCGGGCCACAAAGATCTTCTAATCTTTTAATCTTGTTGAGAAAATTTATAACATTTTCTAGGAATTGTCCATATATCACATTAGCAAAGGTGCATTATAGTGACCTCCATAATGCTCGTTACAGCACACTTCTTTAGTAACGTTGATATTTCCGAAAGAGCTCATCATACTTTCAGAACATACAACTCGAACATGTCCGACCCGATTCTCTTTTTGTACGATTCATTATGCAACCGTCGGCACGTTGACCACAATAGGCAAATGCTCCTAAAATGTAAGATCTGCATCTACGTTGGTCTTAGAAGGAAAAAAATCTAGCACGCGCAGGATCCTTGAGACGAACAATACGGTCGGCTATGAAAAAAGATTCGACCAAAATAATGCAACTTTGGTTTCCTTCTATTGTATTTGCTTAATGGAGCTAGTAGTCGGCGCAACGCAAAACAACCTATATGTTGTATTTGCACCATCCGAAATTATTTGTGTTTTTGCGTCGCACCAGATAAAAAAAAATATATGTTTTGCACCCTGAAGGGGTGGGTCGGTATTGAAATGTACCCAGATTTTATTTCCAAAACTGCAAGGTGACAGATGCGTGGGAAAAATGGATCTTATTTTCTTTACATCAGCATCGCTACAAACTCTGGTGTGGGTTTTTGATGGCAAATAGTAAAACCAGAGGTATTTGTTGGTGTAAGTGACCAGCATTTTTTATTTTTGTCTCATCGCCTTGAAAAATTTCTCACCAACATGTGAGTCTTCCACATTTATGCTTGTCACTGTCTATATGACTCCTTGTTTGTGATGTGCGTGTTCAGGTTGTCGTTGATCTTGATATGAAACATCGCAATGCCTGAACATTCAGCTAAAATAACGATAGGTAAATTTATTATTATTATACAACGGCCCTCTGCCACCCCATTCATATGTGCGTATGTGCAAGCGCGAGTAGCAGATGGGCAAAGGTTTGGCTTACACACCATGCAACTTCCCTGGTACAGTTAGTTAGTTTAACTGTATTACATTGTGACGTAACGTGAAAAAACAAGTAATCAGAATTTTTTATAAAAAATAATAAAGAATTAAACTTTATTTTGAAATTTCAGCGAGGAAAACCAAAATACGTCTCATAGAGAGCATCACTATTTTCATG